AACCTGGCAAACTGCGTTAAATTCCTGGCCAGTGCTAATATCAGTGGCGAGTGATATTTGAAGCAGTTTTATTCCACCCTCTTACCAACCTTGCACTGACCAACGTGGTGAAGTATTGCCGAACAATATCCATCACCGACATTGCGTAATGAGGCCTCCAAGCAATGGTGGATCGACGAAAGGATGTGCAAATGATCGTATTGTTACAATTTTTTTTATATTAATGAATGTATTATTGCTATTATTGTGATTTAATAAATTCAGAGAAAGCCAAGCATGCACAAATAAAAAAAACTATTCTGCACACACAAAAAAATGTTGGCATTGGCACCGTTATATATCATCGTTCAGATTCGTCACCGCGACCAGCCACTGTAACTGCAGAGTCACGAGCACAGAGGGGACATTTGGCTAATACCAAGTTAACTAATAGGCCGTTCTTTTATTATTGTGTAATGCACGGGCAGCCCCCGAAGCAGCAACAAATTGTAATGTGATGTCAGTGCTGTGAATAATTTAGTAGTGGCTCGTGGTCTAATCAGCAGTTGGGTCCAAAACACCCCAACGCTGTCCCTGCATGTAAATATTCATAATGAGCTAATCGTGGAAATAAAACAGGTTGTTGCATTTGCAAAGTAAATGCGTGCAAGATGCTCTAACGATGGCTTTCTAACCAGGCTATTTTGGTGTGATTTTGCAGAGTGGCGTGAAATGTCATAGCAAGGTCATTTTTACATTAATGAAATTCTCTCCGGCAGCGCTCTCTACAACATAAACAGTTTTTTTTTGCTTTAAGCTGCTGACATATGTTATGCAAAGAAATAAAAGCAAAACTTAAAAAAAATCAGATTTTTGCTTGTAGCTGACATTGCTTTTCGTTGTACACTCCATCTGGATTGGAGCTGGATTTGTTTTTTAGGGTATTTAAGTTGTTGGCAACTTAAACAGGGGAAATACGCCAGATGTAGAAATGTTAAAGCAATTACTGACCATAGAAAAAAAAGCAATTTTTTTCTGCAAACATGAATGACTCTGTGGTCCATACGTGGGGAATGCATGAATGGTTCATGCATTGCAAGGAAACAGAATGAGCTTATTATCAGCACACATTTCATTGGAGAACAATACCGATATTCTACTCTCATGTCGAAGAATAATTTGAGGACACAACCGAAAATATTTGCTTGCAATTGGCAATTTATTTGCGATGTAGGTTGTTTTGTTTGGTTTTGAATCAGTTTGAATTTTTAAAACGTATCTCAGATCTATTAAATAAGTCATTGGGAAAATCTGGCAGATGGTAGAGCACCATTTCCCCCTTGGGCGAGAGGAGGAAAAAAAAATCTATGAGACTGAATACTGACACACCACCTCAAACACAGGCTCACAACAAGGCTCTGTTCTGGGACATGAGCAATGTTGATCTAGTTGCTACGTGAGGGTTGTTCACAGGATACAGTGAACATCAACAATGGTAAGTAAGGTTATTGCGTCCATTGAGAGCAAATTGTTAAGAACTGAACTAATTAGAGCAAAACAATCAATTTTAACAGCATGTGTATAGTTTCATGCATTTTCTATCCAAATGCTGCGTACAATGTTAAGCTTATTTCCAACGTCGTTTCTTGCAAAAATGTATATTTTTAAGGCGTAAACTCTTCCTGGAGGAATATAGCATGCGGACAAAATATCACCTTTCAAACATTTTAAAACACAAATCTCCGACAGTCGCACTTTTAACTGCCAATCATCCGTCCCCGGAAAAACGTCGCCCGGGACAGCACAACCACACGCAGACAACGCTTTAGCGCTACAGCAATTCAGATTTTCACGCAAACTCTCACGGACTGACAGGCGAACAAGCGAGGCGCGCAAACACACCTAGACAGCAACATCGCATGCGCTCGCGTGGACAGACAGCCGCAGACATTGCCTTCCCACGAGATGGACAGAAACCGCCGGCGAAAGGTAGCGCGGCGCGCTCTTTTCTGGCGGCGACTGATGTAAGACGACAGGGTCTGAGGGACCTGCAAGCGTGTGTGAAGAAGCTGATACGGGCTGTGTGTGTAAAGCCCCGTGTCGGCCTCTTTACCTCGCTGCAACCTTTAATCAGACAAGGCGCTTGCGCGAGTGCGGGAGGCATCATGGGGCCGTGGAGGGTTAAGAATTTGGTATTCCCGAATGGATGATGTGTCCTCGCATTTCCCAATAAATGTGCGTCGTCTAAAAAGAAAGCCAGCGAGTCTGTCAGACAAGCGGTAGAGCAAATATTGGCTTTGATTTGGAAATAGCTGTGAAGGTTTTTTTTTTTGGGGGGGGGGGGGGGGGGGGGAGGTCTGAATTTGATTTTTTTCCTCCATTAATTTGGAATGTTTAATTCGACGGTTATTCTGCCAAAAAATGAAAAAGGAAACATTTCACGCATTTAAAATTCACAAGCCTGCAGCCGCATGGTTCCTGCACACAAGAGATTAAAGCTTCCCGAATGCTAACAACCCTGGTGTTCAAAGAAACTTTCAAGGTCTGTCAAAATAAATCTTGTCAGATTTCGGTTTAAAAAAGTAGCAAAGGAATAGCGGAGGAGTGAATACAAGCACAACATTTTCATTTGCACCTTTCGATTCCAAATGTGACAATGTAAAAATTATGATTAAACACGCAACAATAATTGTTTATTTGAGTTTGTAGGGCAAAAACAGGCAATTATGTACCAATAAATTAGCAGCACCTAAACTAACACTTTTGGACACACTAACAATACACGTTTTAATGTATTTAACAACAGGATAAAAGCGAGGCAGTGTTTGGAAACAATTTAATGGTAATCACAGCCAGGTGAAATATTACGCAGAGTGCAAAGGTTTAAGCTTCGGGTAATTTGCCAACATGCTACTGTGCTGGGCCAAATCACAACTGGCAGACGCTTCTACAACCCAAAGCTTGGGGTAAGAAAATCCAATCACATTTGAATCACACACACGAGACCCACATCACGGCACACTAACGGTGTAACCCTTTAATAACGGCAGGGACATTACACGGAGTGGCACTACATTTTGAAACAAAATAGGATTCAGAGAAGGTGTTCATTGGATAAAGATAAAAATAACTACCAATATGTAACCAACCTATAATAGCTGTTCTCTCTTACCAGAGAAAGTAATATTGAAACGTCATCCTGAAAGCACACTAGCACACAATGCATTAAAGCTCAATAAGCCTAATTAGGGGGATTCTCGTCCAAAAATCCAATAATGCCTGCTGATAATGTCGTGGATAAAAACAAATTCAATATAAAATAACAGCTGAGAATACACACACTATTGACTTACAGCATTAGGTCAGATTGCCTGCCCATAGGATGCAGGTGAAATGCGGAGACTAAAAAAAAAATCACTTCCGTTAAGTTATTTTATTTCAAGCGAGGCGACAGCACCATTGAAATGTGCCTCTTTGATAAGGGAGATCTGGAATACTAATCACATTACGATGCTTGTGATCTAGACGAAATGCAAATGAACCTCATGGCGGTACCCCGGGGTCCCGAATAAACGAAAGTCAAAATCGTAAATAATAAATTTGTTTTTGGCGACTCCGTCCCTCCGCGCGCATAAACGCCGCGACCGACCCACCAGAAATCAATCTTCTCTCGTTCTTCACCAAGCACCCGTCGTTGCCAAAATTGCCGTAGTCATAAACAAAACTTTTAAACTTTGATTAGCGCATTGTGTAGAGCTCGTCGAGAGGAATTGATCGCCGTGTCGTCCGCCTTCAACAGACATAAAATGACGTCACAACGCAGTTTATGCGAGAGCCGGGGGCTTATGTGATCCCGGGATCCCGCCATAAGGTTCAAATGTTAAAAATAATGAAATATGGCAAAAATCTAATTAATTATATTTGCAACATAATTGCTGTCATTATTTTAAAATATATTACTTCAAATATGCAGATTTATGTAATTACTGTCAAATATAAATTAGAAAAACTGACAAATAAAACGTTCTCATGGCAAATTTTACTTGAGATTTAAATATATAAAACTCACAACTTTGACAATCAATTTAGACAGAGCGCAAAATGTATTTTGTTTGACCAAGTGTATTTATGTTGAACTTCTTTCGTGCCATACGTAGCCAACCATGCTCAGAGGAGGTGCGGGGGAAGGACAACACACTAAACACAAAAAGCAGTTCTAAAAAAATGAGTTTTCAATCTGGATTTAAAAGTGCATAGCTCCAGTGGCTTCCTAATATCAAAATGAAGAGCGTTCCAGACGGGCGCAGAAGCGCATTTGAACGCACACGATGCAGTGACCTTTTTTGTTCGACGGCTAGCCAAAAGACACTGCGAGGATCACTGGAATTCGCCCGATGGTTTATAATCACATTTAAATTAAATGCATTTAGACATTAGGTATGCCAGAATGCATGTGCATTTATTTGTAAATTAATGATTCAGTGGTACGCATATACTCCCGGAAAAAATATATTCATTTACAAATACCAACATAGAGGCAGCTTTTTTTTTAGCCTTTTGGCGTCCTCTGGTCGAACACCGTTTGCAGACTAGACTCAAAAGAAAGCTGTCTCTTGTTGGACCAATCAGGTTAAAAGACAATGCATACAGTATATTATCAGAGTACGTTTTTGTTTGCATTCTGACCACAAGTATTGTGGTTAATGCAGACATGATTCCTTGTAAAAGGTGTTTTAACATCTTAATACCTGTTTTGTTGCCAGAAAAAATGGGAAAACCTATTCTCAATAACATAACTGTGATGAAATTTGATATGAAACAATGCCAGAAAAACATGGAATTTGACATTGGGAAAAAAAAATGCTGTGGAATGCCTGCACATTGTCCTTTATGCTTAGGACGCTTATGCTAATAACAATGATGCAAATTTCTTGAAATCAGGATAATGAGTGGACATATTGTTGTGAGATGCTAGAGGACTGTACAGCAATTTACTGTAACGGCTTAAAATGTAATTTCAGGAGACACCAAGATTCTGGCCACCTCGTGGGCACGTGAACAGAGAGTCATAAGGGAGGCCCTGTGGCTCCACATCCTTGGATCATGGTGAGTAAAGTGTAATGACAACCCACAGTGAATTCAGCATTCATAGAAATATATATTATTTTAGAAAATGTACAATTAATAGAGTAATCGTCGCTTGAGTTATTTCAGTAATTTACAAAACCCTTGCATCATTAATTTGTTTTGCAATTCTAGATTTGAAGTTTTCGTGACTGCAAGGATTCATACTCTTTGGTCACGTAAGTAAAAAAAAATAATAAATTAAATCACGACGTTTCGGAGGCAACACAAGCGTCCGTCTTCAGGTGGAACCGTCACAGCAAAATTACTGTATCAAGTGAAGTCATTTTTCTGTGACGGCTCCACCTGAAACGTCGTGACTTAATTTATTTTAATTGTTTTGCAATGTTGCTCCCTGAACTATGTGACCCAGCGAGCATCAATTCTGAACTTGAACTCACAAAAATGCACACCTGGAATCTGGTCTGCCGTCAAGTGTCTGGCCATCATTCCTGGTTTCGGTTCTGCTGTCTATGGGTAACAAACTTTTCTGATGGCAAAGCCCGTATTTGGCCTGCCAAACGTCCTGGCATCACAAGAGGGCATCTGGCTAAAATATTCCCATCACATATGAGGACGCTTAGCTGACAGGATTATTGCCGACAAGTGTGTGCTTACTCATCGGCAAGTCGCTGAACATCAATGCTTGGTTCTTCCAGGGGCATGCCACGATGCAGGAAGTCTGCACGCACAATTTTACGTGACATCATCACACCCGCGAAAGGAGCTAGCGAGGGCCTTTATATGATTTCCTTAAATATACACAGTGGTTATGGACCAACATTCAGCTCCAAAGCCACATTAATCATTCATGTGTATATGACCCTTTGGTTTGTCTTTGTCCTTGATGGCATTAGATTCAGCCAGATTTATTTATCTAGTAATGGGCTTAACCATCTTTGCCCCACTGCTCTGACCTCGCTGCCTTTGTCATTAGTCAATTGCTCCACAAAGTCCCTCGGTGGAGCAGAGGTCACGGTCAGCTCATTTGGTTCGAATAGGAATGTGCCGACTGAATGTAGAGTGTGCCCCTGCTGAAATCACAGCGAGCAAAGGGAGACTCCTGCAAGAAAGTCGCACTATTCACAGCCGCTGCCAGAAGAAATGAAAGGTCATCACCCAAGACATGTCGGGGACAACCACAGTGTCATTCTAGCAAATACACGAGCGCTGCAAAAGAAGAAAGAGACAAAAATACGTGGGTTTCATTGTCAGAAATTTCTTGTGAAAGTTGTATTTGCCTGTCTACTTCCTATGGCATTTCAAACAAATGTATTGAATGATGATGAACAGTGACGTTTAAAAGAATATATATTTAACATTACACAGATCATTCACTTTTAAATTCCTTCGTATAAACTGTTCGTCAAACTTTACACGTGACGAATTTCCGCAAATGCCTCTTTATTTTTGCCTTGCAAAAATTCCCATTGTCATCGGATGGAATTTAAAACATATTTGAATTTTTTTTTCATAATCCTTCACGTTTTGAAATATTAATAAACATTCAACATTTCATCCCCATTTTGCATTTTGAAAAGGCAGCCCCCTCCCCTAAAATCAGATAAGGGACACGTTTAATACGTGTGAAAATTGTGTCAGTATGCCAAGAATTCAAAACGTTCCCTTTGCAATGCAAACACTGAGGAAGTGTTCGGTTTGCAAGCAACGGACACATTCATACAATGAGCACCAGTGAACAGTGGAGACAGATACCACTCCTGGCCAATTTAAGCCACATTTTCAACACATGCTTAGCAGAGCCACTGGCATTCAAATCTAGATTAGAGCCACTGGTATTTTTTCATTGTAAAACAAATCCATCTCTCTGTCAATTATATGCTGGATGGTCTCCCCATGCTGTGCTGTCATTGGAGCTTGTTTGACCATACTTCACCACAATGGTCAGTGTGCATTGGTGAAGGGGCTGTGGGAGCAGGACCAGGTACAGTTATCACTTACATTCTAGTGGCCAGGAATCGAACTCAGGCGACAGGGTTCAGAGGCGTAGCGCACGAACCACGTGGCCACGGCTCCAACCCCGCGATGGAATTAAAGGAGCCTCATAGCCACTCATCGCTGGAACGCAGGTGGAAGCACACTTGAGCGACGTCCTTATTTAGCTTCATATCGCAATTTGCAGAACAATTGGCATAGTATGCTTTACACACATCACGGGTTCCATAAGCGCAGCGTACACCAATTGAAGCACATTACCTTTTCAGACTGAATGCAAACATAATCATCCCCTGCACGTCACCACCTTCACCCGAATCTACAGAGCTTCCCAACACTTTGCAAAAGGTATTTCCCCGATGCACTTCCACGAGCGGCTAATACCGTTGAAACTGGCAGCATCAGATAACGTCCAATCTGCTGCTCTCAATGTACCGCCAGGACAGTACATTAGCAACTTAAAAAAGAAAAACGGGGTCATTGGGCCCATCTTGAGCCACCAACATCGTAAGTTAGTATACTGTGTCTATTGCCTCACTGTTAACCACTGCAACAGCATAAACCAGAGGCGATATGCATCCTCCGAGTGCCAGCAGGGATTATGATCTCGTTATTCATTCCATCAAGGGTCAAACTGTTACCTTTGATATACATTGGTGCAAAATCAGCGGCACGCGTTGCAACGCATACGCAGATCATAGAGTCAGTGTGCTCAATTCTGTAGCAAGCATTTGTGGACGGAGCAATGGGACGGACCACCGGTGATTAGCCCATTCCCAGAGTTCCATATTGAAAAACAGAAGCTGCTTGTTTCGGTTGTGGAGTGCGCCATCTCTATTCACCTCCCCCCTCCAATTTTTTTTATTGAGGCTAAAGGAAGCGTGCACACAGTAAACCGCCCTGGTTCATCTCCCGGGGCGCAGAAGACACAATTTCAAAGAAGTTAATAACGTCAGGAGGCTATCCCCCGAAGGCCTACGCCAAGTAGCCAAAATCTGCGGTGATCAGCTGCGGGAAATGACGTACAATCTTAGTCCGCACAGACAGGCATTACCAGACCTGTCTTGTCACTTGCTAAATCCTTCACAGAGGCTCTCAAGAGCTATCAGCTGTAATTACTTCCAATTAAGTCAATACTTGGCATCTATTTTCCTCTATCCTCATTGGGTTTTTATTTAAGCCCAGTAGGACCGACACGGAATTTATGACCGCATAAAATTTACGAAAGCTTCCAACTGTGCCCCGTTCGTTTATAGAATAAATGACACGCACCGTGAAAAGGCTCCTAACTGCTGCGCCTGTCGGCAATATATTCAGTTTGTGGTAGTTTGTTCAAAATTGCCATAGTTGAATGTGCCTCCCCGGACAGGTTGGTATAGCTTTTCTTCCGCGGTGGCTGTTATGATAATTACGGTCGGGTCTAGTCGAAATGTTGCACTCCTAATGTATAGGCTAAATAACAATCACAATAAACCAAAAAATATAAATGTCCTGCCACTGTTCACAAAGTATGAGGAGCAAAGCATAAAAAAACATGTACATTGTTTTTTTTGTTTGTGTTCCCGGGTTGTAACGTTTATTTCGAATGAATGGCATCTGACAAACACATTAGTACACACGCTCCATGAAGCTTTCCACTCGTACGTGCACTGGGCACGGTTCCATCCGGATGACTTTGTGGGGCTATTGATGCACAACCGCTTGGCAACACATTGCAGTGGTATTTAACAAAGCATTAAAGCCTCATAAACATCCCTGATCCTTGCAATCTACAAATCCTCGCAAAAAAAAACTTATTGGCGCTTTCGAATCAGCCCACCTCCCCACCCCCTCGATTTTGTGCGTCTCATTTTCAGAGTGCTTTCATTGACTGGACCAAATACCATTGCAAGATTGAAAAGGTCAGGAAGAGTTTAGCGCGAGCCGCGTTTGATCGATACGGAGCAAGTGCACGGACTGATCCATATTCGCCCACCACCTGGAGCTGATGCCATCATCAGAAGCTCAACGTCGACTAATTGCACCGCACCACCCGAAGCGCGCTTTTCTTTTATTGCCCGTGACGTTGGTGCTTGCGTTTTTTTTTTCGCAGCAAGCTCGCCGACCAAATCTGCACGTTACCCTCAAAAGTAAGCCCCCCCCCCCCCGCCAATGCCGGGTTAAGCTAGTGCGGGGCCTGTAGCATGTGTTATAATGGGGCCCTAAATAAAAAAATACACAAGTAAATATGAAACGCACAAATTTGTTATATTGCATAGTAAAGTAATTGTATTTTTTTCATTTGCTATACAGCCAGATAATACGACAGATCGCTAACCTTAAACACGCCAGTCGTTCATAAAAGTTGAAGGCGGTATAGTACTATAGTAATAGAGCAAGTGCAGAATCACTGAACCGGAAATTGATAGCATAGCTTGAAAGCATTTAGCGCGGGGCCCTTGAAAGTGCGGGGCCCGTAGCATATGTGGCTACTTTTGCGACGAGGATAATCCCGCACTGCCTCCATAACCGCCGTGCCACCTCGAGATCGCTTCCCAATGCCAAAGGCGTCGTCCGTAGCTGGCATCATCCACGCATGGCACGGCGCTGAGCGCCACCTCCGGCTTGTTAGAGGCACAACATTACGCCGTGGCTTATGCAGTGTTGAGTCTATGGGCAGTGTTGAGTATATGGGCAGTGTTTAGTCTATGGGCAGTGTTGAGTCTATTGGCAGTGTTGAGTCTGTGGGCAGTGTTGACTCTATGGGCAGTGTTGAGTCTATGGGCAGTGTTGAGTATATGGGCAGTGTTGAGTCTATGGGCAGTGTTGAGTCTATTGGCAGTGTTGAGTCTATGGGCAGTGTTGAGTCTATGGGCAGTGTTGAGTATATGGGCAGTGTTGAGTCTATGGGCAGTGTTGAGTCTATGGGCAGTGTTGAGTCTATGGGCAGTGTTGAGTCTATGGGCAGTGTTTAGTCTATGGGCAGTGTTGAGTCTATGGGCAGTGTTGAGTCTATGGGCAGTGTTGAGTCTATGGGCAGTGTTTAATCTATGGGCAGTGTTTAATCTATGGGCAGTGTTGAGTCTATGGGCAGTGTTGAGTCTATGTGCAGTGTTTAGTCTATGGGCAGTCATCTTCTTGGTTCTTTTGGTAAAGTCACGTAGAAGGGAAGTAATAAAATAATAAAAATAAAACATAATAAAATAATTCTCACGACGTTTCGGCTACAACACAAGCAGCCGTCTTCAGGTGAAGAATGAAACACTGCCAAGCTTGGAGCGTATATATAAGCTGGGTTGGAGGTGGAAGAAGAGCGCCTTGACAAAATAATATGCATATCAAGAGGAGTTTAGCATATTTATGGGAAATGCGTAGGAGGTGGGCGGGGGGGTTTCAAAGTCATATTAGGCCCATGCATTATGCAGGATTAGCAGCATCAAAGGGAGTGGGTAGGGGGTAGCATTAACAAAAGGAGGGAATATTAATAGTATGTAGAAGCAACGAAACATGTCAATGGGAGAGCAGTTGAAGGAAACCCGCACCAGAGCAAATAATGCATTCCCTGTGGAGAACACAAGATACAAGTCAATGCCAGTGAGTGGACTGCGGTCTGAAGGTCACCGTAAACGTGAACAACAATCAGTTAAGATCTGAAATGGTTTATTACGTCCTTCCAATGATTGCTGAGCCAGAATCCATCTTCTCGGTTGAAATTGTCTCTGTGTTTGTATATGTGGATCGCCTCATGAACGAATCTCTCATGGTAGCCAGATGGCTTGCAGAGAACCTCTGTCTTGGAGAAGTCAATGTCATGTGAGCCCACTGAATTGTAACAGTGATCTGCCACGGCTGAGGTGTTTGTCCTACCGTGTTTCAGGTCTGCTTTATGTTCACGGATGCGGTCTGAGAAATGTCGTTTGGTTTCTCCAATGTAACTGCTACCACAGAGGCAACTTAGTTTGTAGACGCCAGGGTACTGTATGTCTGGAACCACGTCTTTCACAGACGGGACCAGATCACGGATTTTATGTACTGTGTTGAATCGGATCTTAATTGATTGTTGTTCACGTTTACGGTGACCTTCAGACCGCAGTCCACTCACTGGCATTGACTTGTATCTTGTGTTCTCCACAGGGAATGCATTATTTGCTCCGCTGCGGGTTTCCTACCAACGCTCTCCCATTGACATTTTTCGTTGCTTCTACATACTATTAATATTCCCTCCCTTTGTTAATGCTACCCCCTCCCTTTGATGCTGCTAATCCTGCATAATGCATGGGCCTAATATGACTTTGAAACCCCCCCGCCCACCTCCTACGCATTTCCCATAAATATGCTAAATTCCTCCTGATAGGCAAATTATTTTGTCAAGGCGCTCTTCTTCCACCTCCAACCCAGCTTATATATACGCTCCAAGCTTGGCAGTGTTTCATTCTTCACCTGAAGACGGCTGCTTGTGTTGTAGCCGAAACGTCGTGAGAATTATTTTATTATGTTTTATTTTTATTATTTTATTACTTCCCTTCTACGTGACTTTACCGAAAGAACCAAGAAGATGAATCCCTGCAGTCACGAAAGCTTTAAATCGAAAATCTAATGGCAGTGTTTAGTCTATGGGCCGTGTTTAGTCTATGGGCAGTGTTGAATCTATGGACAGTGTTGAGTCTACGGGCAGTGTTGAGTCTACGGGCAGTGGTGAGTCTATGGGCAGTGTTGAGTGTATGGGCAGTGTTGAGTCTATGGGCAGTGTTGAATCTATGGGCAGTGTTGAGTCTACGGGCAGTGTTGAGTCTACGGGCAGTGTTGATTCTATGGGCAGTGTTTAGTTTATGGGTAGTGTTGAGTCTCTGGGCAGTGTTGAGTCTCTGGGCAGTGTTCAATGCACCGTGCGTGTTACAGGCGTGGAAAGGACAAGGGGGTTGGTGGGGAGAACAGGGGAGGGAGCTCGCATGGGGAAAGGATTATGGATGGGGAGTGTGGGTCTGGAGGGGGGGCTTGGTACAAGAGTGAAAAGAAAAAGGAAAGGGGGGTGGGCGCGTAGGAGTGGGGGTGTGTGCAGAATGCATGAAAGTGCCCTCAAGCAAAACAGCCCTGGCTGCATATGATTGAAAGAGACATATTTTTCTTCCAAGGTTTTCATGGCGCCCACAGTCTGTTTGACAATGCATTACCATTCTCTCCCCCACCCTCTTCTCCTGTCTGACTTTCCTCTCCCTGGCCAATATTGAAAATTCGGGAGACTGATACATAAATAACCCGAATTTAATTCAACCTACCATTTGCTTGGCAGACATTACCTAAGCTATCAATCATCGCGAAATGTATTTCATGAAATTGTTGATCTCGACGTCCGGCGACGACTTAGCGGCGAGGATATAACGACGAATATGTTTATAGGCCGGGTAGCAGCAAAGGTACAGTGCACACTCAAATCCGCGGCCCCGATAACAATGCTGAGCGAGCAGACATGTTCCTTTGGAGAGAGGAGATTAAAATCATTTGTCAAATCACATTTGCCTCAACGGCTCGCCCGTGCCCGGCATTTCATTTATTACATCTTTTCTCACTCTGCCCGCTCAATAATGAATGAAGGCTACAAACATGATCAGCGTATCACTCCTCGGCGGCACGGCCCCTATCACCTCTCGATGGTTGCCTTTGAGAAGACCTGATTGACAGCTCCCCCCTCTCCTGCCATCCTCTGAGACCCAGACGGACCCTCTGTGGGAGACGCCGAAGCACCGAAGACCCACCCATCCACCGCCGTAGGAGTGCAGAGAAGGCTGTCCATACGCCTCTGCGGCAACACTCACTCTTCATAACACGCGATGGAAGAGGCAAACGCATGCTTTAGAAAAGTGCACCCCAAAGTAACGTGACGAACAGAACCTCCGCATCTGGAATTCTTCAGATCCATCCTCTTCCTCAAATGCTTCTTTTCGTATTCTTAGCGTTTCCCTATTTCCTGTTTTATTTTGCTTTTTGCCAGAAGGTAGTATTGCTTCTTCGATTCTTCATGTCTACAAGACTGCCGTATCAAATGCAGCAGGGTTATTTTGGTTGAAGACTTCCATTGCTTTGTCGGGCTTGTCCTCTCGCAATCGTATGTAATACCATCCTTCCAGCAATGCTAGCATTACACATTTGAGGGCAGAGTATACTAAATGTCGAGTATGTGAACACTGCCTCCCCCAGCCCCTGGCAACCTCTAACCCCTCACTCAATGCACCTGCCTTATCAGACCGCAATTCATATTTTATACTTCTGTGCTCCGAGCTTGCTCTAACCCAGGGGTAAAGAAGGCTTTTTTCCAACCCCTTCCTGATCAGAAGCCTGGAAAGGGCATACCATTAAAGGCACCCTTTACAGTGACCTCTATGTAGGTTATTTTAAAACGCCACTATAATGCCCCCCAGGAAGATCACACGGGGATTGTGATACTAGGCCTGCCTCTTTTTTTTTTTTTACCATTTTTAGAATGCATCATGTACAAATAAACAACAATTCAGGGTCTTTGTGTAGCTTATTATTCACTGATAATGATAGACTAACGAGTAGAAATATCTTTAAGATGTATTTGGAATATTTAATTATAGTTCCAGTATATATACACACACACAGACAAACAAACTGTGATTCCAGTTATTGAAGCAGACCCATATGCACATTTTAAATGGCATTACGAAATACGAGATCCATAAAATATGTACATAGCAAAAGCAGAATGCACTGCCAATTTAACCACGTAATAATGACAGCAAATAAATTGGATAATAAGAGTAATAAAACTGCATATTTTTTGTACTTTAATAAATGTAATGAGATGAAGAGGAAATACTTGAGGAACACGCGGAATATACAATTCATTAGTCTGCCATCACTTGCAAATAATCTTTGTCGAATGTCACACGGTTCAATGAAATTCCATGGTTTGTTGACATTTAATTGCAACCGCATTGCCCTTCCATGGATGAGAGGACTGAACAGGAGCACCAGACGTCCATGTGCCAGGGTGAAACTGGCACATCAAATCAATGCATTTTTCATGTCGACCGAGGAACAGATGTTTTGCTGCAAGTCAGGCCTATTCGTGTTTAACCCTTGCCTGTGTGAAAGGCACGCAAGAGGCAGAGGTCCAGCAGAGGAGGCGTGGGGGTGGGCCAGGAACCAGGAGCCTTCATGTTGTCGGCAGCACCTCCATTGATCGGCATGGCTGCGGAATATTACTCTTTATAATGGTATTACTCAAATCAGATCTGTGCCACACCAGTATTAAAGGTGTTTGCTGCATGGCTGTATACTTGAATCGATGCACAATATTCAGTGCTTGCAATTTCTATCTCTCAATTTCTATCTCTCTAAATTGCTTCAATTTTTTGTTACAGAATACCCATGGCACTGACCATTATTCATTCGCTCACCCAGTGGTCGTGGCACGCAACCCTTGTGAATAAATCGCGATGATATTCCATGAGTACTCTGCGTGCACATGCGTGGCCCATGCATGAATCACACGTGTGTGTGTGTCTTGCAGAATTCCAACGCAAGCACGAGCGCGTTGCTGTATTGGATTACTGAGCTATGCAAGTTAGTTGTATTACCTTTTTTTAAATATACGAATGAATGACACATCATTCTACGATTGTGGCATTTCATTTATGTGTAAAAACATTTAGAAAATAGGTCCCGTTATTCTGTTCCAACAACTGGTCCTCACTTTTATTTTGATGCTACATGGATTGTTACATCGCGGGGCCGTGACAGATACTGGCATCTTGGGGAGGCCTTTACCCAGCAGTGGACTGATCATGGCAGATGATGATTATTTGTTTTGCGTTTAGCGATATGTTCAGGAACTACATGCCAACATTGAGGTCTTCTGGCCACAAGAGAGCTTCAGGAGAGAGCTTGTGATATTTTTTATTTTCCTCCGTTAATGGAGTGCAGACTACACTGGTTTACTTTATGGTCCATATATGATGATGATGATGTTTATAAAGCATTACAAATGTGGAGAATGTGTTTTGTGAAATTGCATAAAAAGTGTATGTTGGTTTAATTTCATTTCCTGGGCTTAAACATTGCACTCAACATTATTTCGTGGCACTGCAACTTAAAAAAAATTCCCCAAGTGAGG